CCTTTTTTAAATGGTCAAACCCAGCCAAAGCAAGAAAATAAATTCAAGGACCTTACATTTGATGCCATATGCAGTAAAAAAAATGAATAATGATATTTATAGTCGCTCATTACGACAGTCGCCCTATTTCGTATACACATAGCAATTGGTAATTTGATGCATGAGTCAATAAAAAACTACTACATTAAGATATCAAATAATCACTTGCTATGTGTATGTCACGTACGATCACTGTCGTAATGAGCGATTATGAATAGCATTACTAAAAAAATAACCTATTGAAGTTGAAGCATTGAAGAGAGATTCATTGGGCTCTAACAACGAAGAGTTACCTGATGTTGTCACTGAGAATGCTGCCTCCTGAAGTTTCCATTGGTGCCACTGCCTTTAATAAGTACTGGACATAGGGTGGTTTGGAGTCTGGGCAGGCCAGAATGTCTCGACAGGTCAGACCCGATTAAGGCCATATGCCTGCACTGAACTTTGGGCCAACCCCATTTAGAAATATAAGTGAGCAGCCATTAATAATAATAATAATAATTGGCCCAATCTTATAAGAACCACAAAGGAGACCCAAACCTGAAAGTGAAACCCCATGTGGGGAACGTGAATTGACAATATAAATTAGAAACCCAATTTCTATAAAATCTAGTCATTTTTCTCGAACACTTTTTTTGTCGGTTTTCTAGTGGATTGTGATTCGTCTTGCAAGATAACTTTTTATTACAAATTGATTGAAAAGATCTTCCTGTAATTTTGAAGCAAGTGATTTTTTGTAATTTCATCTATATGATATGAATCTACGGGTTTGGATTATTATGTGAGAGAAACTATTAAAGGGTTTTGATGGTGTGGTTCAGAGTTTTGCTTCTTTATGATTAATTACATTTTACTGTAAAGAATTATTTTCCTATGGAATATAACTTTTTCAATTGGTTTTAGATTATTTTGCTTCTTTAATAAGAATCTGATATGATGTGAATTAGTTCTTCATATGTGGGCAGTGGGTTTGGAGTGTTTTGATTATTTTGTTTCTTTGCTTCTTTTTTGCCTCATCCCACTTTGTTATTAGATGTTCTTCTTTCTTGGCATCTAGTGTTTCTTTGGTTGTGAAATTGAAAATGGTACGGCACATATTAAATTAACTCTTGTTTATTTCATAATGAAAATAGTATGGAAAGATTTTATAGGAGAAAATTTCTTGAGGATATTGATAATGTTGATGTGGAGATGTTAAATGGAAACAATTTTGATGTTGCACTATCTTCCACCGATTTTGATAATGAAGTGATTGTACACAGTTATCAAAGTATGAAAACTCGTAAAGAACAATTATAAAGTATTCCACTTTTAGTATAATATTTGGGTTATAATGTTGTTATTTTTTTTACCTTTATTATATTGCCCACATTGAAAAAATTTCTGAGTCCACTCTTGTGTCTCGGGCCCACGAAGTTGATCTTGCAGCACAAGATTTACTGAAAGGTCTGTAGAGATGTACAATAGGAGGTGTAATTAGTTCTTTATCCTTTCATTTAATTTCTTTTTATTTTATTTGAATACGATAGTAAAATCATCTTTTATTGGAAAATGGATAAAATGACATTTTGCACAATAAAATGTGGAAATAGGGATAACAATGTCAAAAAAAAAACGAAAGGTAAGAACATTTTGTACAATAAGATTGAAAGGTAAAAGACGTTTTGTCTCATTTACCCTAATCATATTCATTCTCAATTTCTTGACTTACAAAAGAATGTCATTGAATGATTCCGAACAATCCCATCCAATTCAAAGTACACTAGTCTCAAACAGTAATAGTACTGTACAAGAATTTGGATAAACTAACTAGTCTCAAACGGTAAATCCTGTACAAGAATTTGGATAAACTAACTCTTAACTTACGCATGACCTTATTTCTAGGCACTTTGATGACATGTATCGCTCAGAGCTTATTAAAAGCCCTTGCTTGCACCGGAGCAAGTAAATATAATGCAAAAATTGAAGGATTGCCTCGCCTGTGGTGCAGAACTGAAAATTTTTCTCTTGCTTGATTGTAGCTATCATGAATCAATATCGGGGAAATTTTTTCCTAGCAATTTGGCTATAGTAATCCATCGACCATCGACCTTCCACCATCCTTGTTTACAACCTTTTTTAGACTAAAATATTAGGCTAAATTGCCAGTATATGGATCTAAAGCGTCCTGCAAAGCTTGTAAAACCGTTTACAGCACATAGCTCAAATTTGCATAACAATGGGCAAATAACCATCAACCACCATTCCCAGGGATAGGAAGAGTCACATGAGACCTGCTAATTAGGTTAGATTCAACACCAATGAGAGGGATCTTTAGGAACAAAGTTCGAAGAAACAAGAGGAATGAGCTACCTTTGCCCCAACATCCCATTTACCAGTCTTCTGCTCCTGAGAAAATCAGCAACTTTAGCATCTTATAACAATGTTCCATCTTCCACGACAGTAACCTCTTTTTGATGAGTAGCATCAATGACAAATAGATCTCATCCCTCATTGGATGATAGAAACTGATTGCCACACCACAAATACATGATGTTGATGGACAAGTTTAACATGGAGAGAGAAATTCTCGAACCCCAAATCTCATACCTCTGTAGCTTTTACTAGTATTGCAAACAGGAAATAGTTATTAAAAGTGGCCAGCGAACAAACATTGTGCAGATTCCATCCAGAGAGAGGCAACACTATGAAACTTGTTCATGCTCTCGAGCAAGACGGTCCTCTTCAGTGCGCTGTAACAGTTCCTCATAGACTTTCAAAGAGTCAGCTGCATACTTCTCCATGGCCCTGAAAACATGTTGCAGACTTGCCTGAAGACTAACACTTTTGCTGGTCTCACTCTGATACACAACACGTCCAGTTAATGGCTTACCACTGTCATCCCCAGAGATTAGAACCGTTCTTTTGTCTAATGCCTGAATTTCCTTTTGTATCTTTTGGTCTTCCCTCTCCAGGCCCTTAACTTTTCTCTCGTCCTTGTTTACTAGCATCCTTTGTCTCATTTCCAATTTATCCCGATCCCAGAGCTGAAGCACATTTGTGGCAAAATCTCGCATTGAATCAACTACTTCTTTCTCAGAAATTCCCTCCAGTGATTGAGACCACTGGTAACATATTACGAACACGGGGGGAGCACCGATCCTACCAGGAGAAAAGGGAACTATTCCATCTGGTGTTTCTTCGGGAACATTATGGATGCATTTCGTAAGCCAGCTATTCAATGCTCGAATGTAACTCTTTTGGGTACCAATCCAATAAGAGAATCTTAGAGTCCAATTAATAAGATCATGTTCAAGCAGTCGAGTGGCTTCCAAATGAGCGTCACTGAAGTGTTTGCGTAAGGCAATGGCATCTAACCTTTTGGCTTCTCCAATTGCTCGACATTGATTATGATGGCACACAAGCATGGATTTCCACATCTTGGTTAACCTGGAGAAGGAAGGCAAGAAGAAATTAATAGACAGACAGAAAATAATAATAGACACTAACTAATCTCACTGCATGCCACATACATGAGAGGAAGATATAGTAAATTGATTCGTATGGCACCTAGTTCAGATTTCCTGTGTCTTTTAATCATATTGATCTCAATGCTTAATGTTGGTTAATTTGCTCTTGGTAATCAGTCATTTATGCTATACTCATTTTGTTAGGCAGCTCAGCGAAACAGGACAAGTTAACTAAGCTTTTAGTCTTCAAAAACCTAAAATATAGAGGGTTATCCCACAAGTAAATGAAACCCAATAATTTTTTGGCGAATATACAATGATTCCTCATCTTTTTCTCTAACCGTCCTATTTCCATCTGAAATATAGTATACCTTTGTTACATGAACCTTTCCATTACAGCTCAAGTAATGATCAAGACTAAATAGCAGGAAATGTAGATGGCATATCAATCATTCATTTTACACAGAAGGCTATTGATTTTTTTTACGAATGCAACACTTGGACTTGTACTTATCTCCATCGCCTATAGCCAAGTCCACCTAACATGGTTAAATGCCAAAATACAACTAACTGAGCCATGTTTTCAACAAAATTGGGTTAGGTACATAAATACCCACCACAAATTCCTCTGGTTTCTCTACCATAAACCTTATCAAAAACCATTCCACCTAAAGCTTGTAAACCAGAAAAGGTTTAAACTTCCAGGTAACATGCCTTCTGATCCAGCAGCCACACATAAAATCCATCTCTAACACACTGTCTGAAGCCCTATAGTCATATTTTACCTGATGCAATATGGAACCGTTATGGATCTTTGGAGAGTCATACCTCAAAAACTATTTGTTAGAATTGGAGAGCACAAATCTAAATAAACTACACACCGATATTCCACACTTTCGAAGTGGGACCCAAATCACATACCTTGAATTGGGAACCATGAAAAATCATTACGCTCTGCAATCCCAGCCGACGATGGACTCACTTAGCACTAGTCCAAAACGAGTCCCAAATGAACATTGCTATGCTGGCATCATCATCCATGCTATTCGATTGCAATCGGGAGACTTGGTGCTTGCTCTAATATTATTATTATAAATTTTGGAAGTCTTACCTCAAAACTAGCTATTGAAATTGGAGAGTTCAAGAATTTATACACACACATCGAAATCCCATAATTTCGAAATGGGATCCAAGTCTCATACCTTACAATAGAAACCATGACAAATAACCAAGCTTCATGATCCCATGCTCACATCGGATTGGCTTTGTACTAACCCATGACTAGTTCCGCACGAACAATGCTATACAAGCGTAACCGTAACCATTCGTGCAGCTCAATTGCCATCGAAAGACATGGTGTCTGCTTTAATACCATTGTTATATATCTTTATAGAGTCATATCTCAAAAGCTAGCTATTAAAATGAGATAACCCAAATCTATATAACCTCACATCGAAATCCCATATTTTCAATTTGAGATCCAATTCTCATACCTTACAATGGAAACCAGGACAGCAACCTTCAGGTTTACCGTGCATCTAGCTCACAGGAAAGCAAGACAAGCCACATTCTTCTAAATTCAAGTTTCAGATATTCGTTTATGAGAGGAAGCTGGAGATTGCTGTTCCCTTGCTTCTTCATTTCCTAGACTATATAATCTTTCCATGCTTAAAAATATACCAGTAAACTTTGTTAGTTTGCTCAGAAAATGGAATACTGGATAGGAAATTTCCAGTTCAGCAGCAACTCATATAGCAAAAGATTTCAGATTTATCCACAGCAAATTATCCTAAAGATAATTTACTTGAAACCTTCTCGAGCAGACAAAAGGTTGTGGATTTTGGTATCCATTTCTTGCAAGTCATTCTTCCAGGCTCTTGTTGATTGCCAAACTACCCTCCTCCCCGGCAATGCCTCATTCAAATTCGTTTGGAAATCTAGTGTCCCTCATAAAATATGGTGTTTCCATGACTTGCCTTAACACAAGGAAATGTACTTCTTTGCAGATGACCCTCAACAATCTTACTTCAGAAGTGAAGACCAACATTATCAGCACCAATAATGTGTGCTTCACACCTAGAAAGACTTTCTAGAAAGGGAGATTAGCAGGGTGAAACAGTCTTATACATAAAACATGGACATAGATGATAATCAGCAAAAGGTTCACTAGAGAGCAGATCCTACGGATGCCAACATATCACTTGTAAATATCTGAATCAATCAAGTACGTAAAAATGCGAGAAAAATAAATAAATAGTGTGATATGAACAGAAAGCAGTATGCAGAGACACCAAGTTTAAACTTGGGAGAGCAGCATAACACAGAATAAGCAGTCTGCAGAAAGGTCATAAGATCAAGGTACCCTTGAATGAGTTCATTTAGCTGCGGCCATAACTCATCGTCCCTCAAACTGTTTATCTTCACTGAGAATTTATCGACAACTTGAATCGCAATTCTAATTTTTGAGGATAGGCTTCTAACTAAAGCTCTGGTTGCCTCAATTTTTTGAGCTTCAGCACCCCTTTCATCTAAACGCTTCAGTTTATGTGACTTCGTATTATGGAGGACCCTCATTTTCTCCTCAACCTGCAAAAGCACGAGTATAGATGAGATTAAGCAGTTGCACCTCAACTAGTTAAACTTTTAGGTCAGTGATCTAAATGTGAAAAACATATTTTAACTCTATTGTGCATGTGACATACATAGGACATAAGAAAGTTTGAGTCTCATCAGAGAACTAAGCTCAATGGATCAGTAAAACAAGTTAACGGGTTCAAAATTCACTATTCTACAAAAGTTCTACCAGATTAATCTGATTAGATGTCGTTAGCTATAAAACATCGAATTTGCCTCCATGGAATCTGGAGGTCCATGAGAATAATTAACAAGCTTCAAAAAGTGGGAGATATGACATGCAACCCAAACCACTTGCAAAAGAAGTTAATGAATGACAAAGAACGGATGAAGGAATAATGGTATCTGAGCAAATAGATCTATACTACAAAGTTATTTCAAAGAACTGCAAATATATTGTCTACACTTGACTTTATCTCCAACATCAAGTTGAATCTCCAAGTACATACCAATTTCTAGATAGATACAAACCAATGCAAGATTAGAATGCTTCGGTGTCACAAATTTTAACTCCTTACTTTCATCGATCACCTGAAATATAATGAGATGCACAAAAAAGTGGAATGCTTTAATAAAAGAATTTCAAACCACTTTGAGGGTCATCAATATCATCTATCTGAAAATATCGATAAGGAATAAATGGTAACTAACAAATTGAATCCTCAAATAATGTTCTGAAAAATGGTGCCAACAGGAGGACCACATACTATATAGTTGGTACATGATTAATGTAGCAACTAAAATTGTTCAGAAAAGATTAATATTGCAAAAATGCAAATAAGAGAACACTGGGTCAATGACAGGAATTAACAATGTACCTTCACTTCTTCATACAGTTTCTTCTCCCAAAGGTACAGCTTATGCAAAGTAGATGAAATGTTTCTGGAGCCCAAACCCACAATTTGATCAACATCTAAATTAGGATCAGCATTTTCATCCTGTGAGCTTCTGGAATTTATGGTTTGTGACGCTACCCCTGGCAACTGCAATATCTTGGAAGAAACTGCCCCAAAAGTACCTATAAATTTAAACATAAAAGAGAAATAGAAATGACTGCAAATTTCAACTGATCAAGCATAATCAAACTTAACTTTCCACCACAAAGCTATAAGAACCCAAGGCCTCCATGTAATAAATGTATTTATTATTTAATTCTTTGCACACAAGCACTCAAATAAAATTTCATTCTGAAGATAATACAACTAAGACATTCAAAATCAAAGTGTACATCATTACAGAGGAAAAGAATCGAATCTTTACCATGACGGCCATCATGCTTGTGTTTATAGGGAAGCTTTCCGACCTCAAGCAACTTAGAAAGCTCAATTCCAGACTCTGAAGCTCGTTCAAATTGAACCTGAATTTCTTTCACAACCTCAGAATCAACCTTGAAACCACCCCGGGCCTTCAATCCAGCCACATTTCCCCGATTGTTCAACCTGTCCTCATCTTCAACCACCTTCTTATCCACCATATGAACTTCATGCTCAACTGGATCACTGTCCGTTCCGACGCTTTCCTTCGCCCTATACCGAGACTTGTCATCATACTGCACCCTTTCATCCTCCACCTCGTTGGCCGCTCCAGCTGTTCCTGCCTTCGAATAACTACTTCCACTATCCGCAAACATTTGATTTCCGTGAACTTCCTTCACGTCTTCATCATCCTCATCTTCCAAATCAGGTATCTCCTCTTCCTCTCTCACTTCCCTTGAGTCCCAGCTCGGAGTGTAAGGCCGATTATGCATCTCAAAGGACTCAAACGGGTTAAAAAAATCCCAGGACGAACTCTTTGGTGGCGATGGAGGAGGTGGAGGCGCTTTTGAACTGGACGCAGCAACTGTCCCATCAGACGAAGATGAAAAGCCGCTGTAATGCGCAGGTGGCAACGAAGAACCGAATATCCCACCTCCAGCATCCATTTTCGGATAATTGCCGTAATTATCAATATTATTATTATTATTATTATTATTATTATAATAAGGATACGAAGGTGGGTTCTGAATATTATTTGCATAAGGATGAGGATACGAAGAGGAAGTAGAAGATTCACCTATATGTATAGTTTCTGGGATCATCGGCCGTTGCTCATACACAACAGACGGCGTCGTTTGCTTCTTCATATAATTTATATTCGTAAACCTTCCGCCCGGCGGAAGAGTTTCGTAATCCGGCATGTAACCAATGGGACCACCGTACGGAGGAACCGGGGTCGGCGCATCATAATGATGTAACGATTCCGTACCGGAATCCTCTTCATCTTCGGAGTCGGAGTGAAAGTGAAGATGCGAACCGGAGTCGGAGTGAGAGCGAAGGTGGTGAATCTTTTCCGGTGGTGAACCAGAAGGTTCAGATGGTTCACCCTTCCGTTGAGCCGGAAGGTTAAGAACCGGCGAAGACGGTCCCGGAATGGAAGCGTCTATATTATGATTAAAAAATCGATCGAGTGAAACGCCAACGGCCTTCAGCGAGTGAAGATAAGCAGCGTGGGCTTCAGCCAAGGCGTAGCGTTTGTGTATGGCTTCATCTAGGAAAGTGCACCGCTCCCGGCAAAAAGCAACCACCGGCAAGTCATCAAGCTTTGAGCTGGCACAACCCATCAAATTTAATTCACAGTAAAAATATAAAAATAAAAATAAAAACACTGAAACTAGATCAAGAAAGAAAGCATAATTCAAAATTGGGGTGAAAATATTTAGGGTTGGAGTAAAACGATTATGAGATTGGGAGAAGAAAAGGAAATGAAGATGGAATATTTTTGTGTGCCAGACGGGAGTTTTGTCTTTGCCGTCGTGTTGTATGCGTTGCAGAAAAGAAAAGAGAGAGAGAGTGGAGGGAAAGAGAGAGCTTAGTCACTTTTTTTTTTAACGTATGTATATGTATCTCAACATTTGAGTGTACTTTTGTTTTAGGAAAAATTGCACCATTAGTTGTCAACTTATTGTTCCATAGCAAGTTGATTTTTAACTTTTAAAAGAGCAAATTTCAGTATGTTTTATACTACTTTCAAATTGTGGATCCAACAAAATATTTAAATAATAAATAAGCAATAATTGTGAATCCTATGAAATATTTCAATAAAAAATATGTATGACTAGCTTATAAATTAAAATACAATTTAAATTGTGCCAAATATGCACTCAAAACTTTTTTAAATTGCATACTAATACAAACCACCGAAAATCTTAATTAAATCGTCATATAAAACTCATAAAAACATGAATTGCAATAATGTTTTAGATATCATATTTTAACTAACACACTACTGCTAACAAAGAGTTGAGTGATCATCTACTATAAGTCAGTCTTAAAAAATTTCTCCATGTCAAGATGTTGACTCCAAACTCAAAGTTGTTGATGTTGATTCTAGTAGACTATATGATTATATGATGTAGAATTTATTGTGGGATAAGTACGCTAAGTCATAAATGTTGGCAACTCAAGTTTTAAAGCAAATTTTAGATTTTGAAAATTAGATTATACATATGCCACGTGATAGTTTAACATAGATTTGTAGAGTTATTGTGATTGTGATTGATGACTAATATAGATTCTGTGTAAACTTGCTATATATTTTGATCTTGATGATTAACTTGTTAATTATGTAATAGATTATGGGTCAGTGATGCAATTTATTTTTCCCTTCGTTTTACCAAATGTCAGTGGTTTGGGT